GAGCTGGCTTACCAGGGAGGGTCTTAACCTGCGTCTGTCTGGAGCGGGAGAATCATGGCGACTCCTCCACTCAGCTTCTTTTTCCCAGCATTCTCTTCTGTCTACTCCGCCTACCTAATTTTCTGACCTATGAGGGCCGAGGCAGTTTCTTTATTATTACAAGACCCACCTCCATCACCATGGCCTGGAGCTGTCAGCTGTGGACTGCAGATTACATCATCTGCTTCATTGTTTCTCCGGATTTCAGACCTAAATACATCCATGTGATTTATCATGGCTCTCTATAGACAGATGATTCTGTTCCATCTGATCCTGCAGCTATTCAGTCCCAAAGAAACACACAGAGGCTTATGTTAATTATAAACTGTATGGTCTATTAGCTAAGGCTTACTACCAACAAGCTCTCATAACTTAAATTAGCTCGTAATTCTTGTCTATGTTTATCCACATGACTTGGTACCTTTTCTCAGTGCAGCATTCTCATCTTAATTCCTGTGCATCTGACTGGTAACTTTTTGCCTTTCCTCTTCCGAGAATTCTCTTAGTCTGGTTGTCCTGCTTATACTTCCTGCCTTGCTATTGACCAATCAGCATTTTATTAAACTAATATGAGTGACAAATCTTTCAGTGTATGGGAACATTATCCCACAGCAGTTCTCCAGCTTGCAGACAAACTATCAGGAGACTTATTTAAAAAAAAAAAAAAAAAGATTTATTTATATACAACATCCTGCCTCCATGTATACATGCCAGAAGAGGGCGCCAGGTCTTATTGCACATGGTTTGTAAGCCACCATGTGGTTGCTGGGAATTGAACTTAGGACCTCTGAAAGAGCAAGCAGTGCTCTTAACCACTGAGCCATCTCTCCAGCCCTATTAGGAGACGTCTTAGTCTCTAAATCAATAAGTAAGCTCCCTGATAAACCCCATCATATATCTTATAGATTCTTTCTCTAGAGAGTTCTCACTAAATGTCTTTCTTTAAAAAAAAAAACTAATGATTTAATTTATGTACATGTATCTTGATATTGTTTCTCTATTGCACACAGAGTTAAATTCACATATTTTACCTGCCTTACAAAGACTCAAAGGATGTAAATCAAAACCTTTAAACCTAATTTTCTATGGTTATCATTTTTATTTCTTTTTCTCACCATTCTTTTTGCCACAATTACACATAAGTACTCTCTTTTCTCTGGTAAGGTTACTGAGATACAATACCCATGTGTGGCTGTGAATTCAGTGTGTGGTAAA